CCCCCGGTGCTCAGATCCCCATGTGACAGAGCAGCCTCCCCACACTTCATCTCAGGGCGCCTGGGGCAGCCCTGTGGGGTCAGACCCCAGCCGGGATTGGGGGCAGCCCTCTGGGACCAGACCCCCGCTGGGTTTGGGAGCAGCCCTGTGAGCTCAGACCCCCAGTTGGAGTCAGCCCCCTATGCCTGCTGCACTGGCTCCCTTCTCTTCCTTTTCCCAAGGCTGAAGAACATCAAGGCCAGCGAGGCCTACAAGGCGGTCTGGGGCAGCCCTGTGGGGTCAGACCCCAGCCGGGATTGGGGGCAGCCCTCTGGGACCAGACCCCCGCTGGGTTTGGGAGCAGCCCTGTGAGCTCAGACCCCCAGTTGGAGTCAGCCCCCTATGCCTGCTGCACTGGCTCCCTTCTCTTCCTTTTCCCAAGGCTGAAGAACATCAAGGCCAGCGAGGCCTACAAGGCGGTCTGGGGCAACACCCAGGATGGGGTGGTCTCCACGCAGCCCTCGCGGGTGGCGGACGAAAGGGAGCAGATGATCATGAGCGGTGGCTACATCCACAGGTAGGTGGGAACCTACAGGGGATCCCAAACCCCTTAGGCACTTGGGGGGACCTCAAGACCTGACCCCCCACCCCAGATTCATTCTTCTCGAGCCAGGCCCTGCACCATCAGGGACTCAGTGCTTCAGCGCGGTGGCAGGGAGCAGGGTGGGGAGGTTCAGTAGAGGGGTGCTCGCCCCTCACAGTGGGTGGTGGAAGGGGGGCTCCGAGCAGGCGGTGCATGAGGAGCGGCATGAATGGGAAGGAAGAGGTGGGAGCAGGCTCCATAAAGCATATGGATCTGCAGGCTCTGGCGAGACAGCGCCCTCTGGTGGCTGCAGCCTGCAGAGAGGATAACCACCTACTACTGCCCTTGCTGAGGGAGCTACTCCCTTAGCCTGGGCGGCAGAGAGGCTGGGGGGGCTCCTGCCGCCTGGGGGTGGGCGGGGCACCTTCCAGAATAACGAATGACGCGCGGGAGGACGAGATGGAGGAGAACCTGGTGCAGGTGGGGAGCATCCTGGGGAACCTGCGGAGCATGGCCCTGGACGTGGGGAACGAGATTGACATCCAGAACAAGCAGGTGGACAAGATCATGGAGAAGGTGAGCGCTGCCCCCTCCCCGGGCAGGCCCTGGAGACCCAGCCTTTGGGGGGACGCCCCGTTGCCTCCTGCAGGGGGCGACAAAGGCGTCGCAAGGCCTGTTGGATGCTGCTGTTGGGGACAGGTCCTGCAGCTCGTGCCCCACTAAGGACTTAGGCTCAGAACCCCCCAGCTCGGTTCTCTGTCCACGGGGACCGGCGTTCGTTGCTGCCTCGAGCCGGCTCAGAACCGGCCTTGGGTGGGGAGGGCGCTGCCAGCTGGGAACCGGCTGTGTGCTCCCAGCAGGCTCTGCCGCATCCCCTCCAGAGGTCCTTCCAGCGGGTGGGTAACAGCCCAACTATTGCTGCCAGCTGGGAACCGGCTGTGTGCTCCCAGCAGGCTCTGCCGCATCCCCTCCAGAGGTCCTTCCAGCGGGTGGGTAACAGCCCAACTACTGCTGCCAGCTGCAGGAGCCAGTCCCTCCTTGAATTCAAGCCGTGGCAGGGCAGAGAAAGGCTGCTAGGACAATGGGAGGGGTTGGGGAAGGGGCTGGCAAAACACAGCTGGAATGGGGAGCTGGGGCTGTCTAGAAATACCCCTAAGGCTACGGCTAAAGAAATGGAGATAAACTGGCCAGCGACGAGCGGAGGCTGGAGATTAGGAGCAGACTGAGCCGCACCAGCAGGGCCAGTGCTCCCGGGTGGCCCTTGCCTGCCCATGCGCTAGGTTCCTGGGCTCTGTGGGAGTGTTTGCAGCCCCGTACAGGGTGCAGAGCCCCCCGGGTTCCCCGTCCCCTCCTCTGGGATCACAGCAGAGGACCCTCTGTGATTCCGTTCCCCACCGCTCCGCTCCCTGCAGGTCACTGTGAACGAAGATCGCATCCAAGAAGCCAACACCCGGGCCAAGAAGATCCTAAAGAACGCCTGAGACACCCTCTGCTCTACGTGTCCTCCCGCTTCGCTGCCCCCACCCCGGCTCCCGGTCGCAGTCCGTCCGTCCGTCCCTGCTGTTCAATCTGCCCTGGAGTCTCTGGCGCCGTGTGTTAGGTGGAGCCTCGGCTGTTTGGGGCTGGCGTAGGGGGTGCGCCCTGCCGTGGTGCGTAGTGGATAACAGCCTTACTATTGCAGGGAGCTCAGGGAGCTCCTCCTGGAGTTCAAGAGGGAGCGGGCTGTCCGTGGGTGCTGAAGGTTGTAGGTTCAGCCGCAGCTGGGAAGGCGGAGTATGTTATAGACACAGCAGCTTTGTGTGTTCTGGCCTCGTGGAGGGTACACAGGTGAATCTCCCCACACTAGGGAAGGCTTGCCCTAGTGCAGTGACTCAGATTGGGTCCTCCTGGTACCCATGTCCCTTCCTCTTTATCTGTTTCTAAAGAGCTCTGCCTCTACTAGCTGAGCTTGGGTTTTCCAAGCCCAGGGGCAGACCATGGATGCTGGGGGAGGGGCTATCAGTTGAGGGACTGGGCAGAATGTGGCCCTCTAGTGACAAATAAGGGCAGGGAGGGGGTAAAACAGGAATTTCCTTGTGCACTATCCCAGGCAACTTTGGGTTCCGAGCAGCCTCTGATTTTATGAAGTGTGTTAATCTGTGGAACTCCTCACCACAGGATATTAATAATCCCTAGATTTTATCATCTATAGATCTTAAAGCACTTTACTGGTGTGATGTGGGGGAGGGGGGCTTTCAGTATCACTATCCTCATTTTACAGATGGGAAACCTGTAAAGGCACAGAAAAGGGAAATGACTTGCCCAAGGTTACCTAGCAGGCCAGTGGCAGAGTTGGGACAAAATCCATGTCTCCTGAGTCCCACCTCAGGGCTCTATCCACTGGGCCCCACTGTTCTGAAGAAAGCCTCAGTATCAAGTGACACAAATCCTTCAGTAGCTAAATGAAGTCAGACAGGATTGATAGGACAGATGAATCAAAGAGGGGTTGGGTCAGTGACTCAATTTGCCACATCATCCTTCCCTGTTAACACGTGGAACCCCCCACCACTTGATACTCTCAAAACAAATGTTTCATTAACTAACTAAAGAAAAACAGGAGAGAAGAAGGACATCAGAGATTTCCTTAGTACAGTTCCTCTTCCATCCTTTCCTGGTAACCTGTGGAACTCCCCTCCATAATATATGCCCAAAGTAAACATGTTATGAATGGAATGAAGGGAAATAGGACTGATGGGATGGCTGGATGGGGGAGGTGGGGCACATGCCGATGACTTCCTGGGATCTATCCCTCTGTGTGTGTGTGGTTTTCAAACGTGTCTATCACTGTGACACTGAAGCCCCTGTCTGTGTGAGGGCTCTGTTTTCTTTTTATCTGTGTTGTAAGCGAGGTGATTTTTTTTTCAAAGCACAATTAAAAAAAAAAGCAAAGCACCTTTTTCTTTATGATCAACTCAAACCAGTGTCCAATTCGCGGGCGGGCTGGGAAGTGGCGCCGGGGGTCAGGATGGGTCTCATCTGCCCCACAGAATCGAGGAATATTGGGCTAAAAGAGACCCTCACAGACAGGGCCATACTTAGGATGTATGGGGCTCTGTGCTGTGCTGTTTAATGGGTGCCCCTCTACCCCATGGCAGCTTGTTTGGGGGGTGTGGGGACAATGCTTGGTTAGAGCTGGGATTTTATAATCTTCAGCCACACACTAATGAACTTTCTTTAAACAACTATTTAAAACAAATTTGAAACTAAGGCCCCGTCGAGTCACGGTAACTTCAGAAACTGACCGTCCGTACCGGGGCTTGGCAAATGCCTGTCAAACAGCTTCCTTGCCTCCCCAATGGCTCTCTCGGAGGTCGGATGTCCTGCTACTCGCTCGGGCAGGCTGTCACTGGTACGTTATGTAGCTCCTCTCCGGGGGAAGCAGGGATAGAAAGGAGGAAAGAGGATAGCTGAATCTGGGAATGAGGGTGCTATGATTTCAGTTCTGCTCATTGGGCTTCCCTGTTAACCTGTGGAACTCTCCACCACAGGAAATTCCTGAAGCTGGGAATCAGAATCCTTGAGTCTTGGATCCAGCCCAGCAGCTGTGGAGAGTCATTCAATCACTTTTATTATCTGTATTTGGAAAGAAACAATGCTCGCTTCATTGTGCTCACTGTAGACCCACCCTTCTCTCCTCCTGCACTCCCAAGGGGGGTGTTTTATTCTGGGACAGTTTTTCAAGGTGCTTTTTGGTTGATTTCTGAGCATTGGGGTTTGCTTACGGAGCATGGCTCGCTGCTCTCAGCTTCCAGCCCCGATCGGCCCCCGTGGGACAGGAGAGAGGGGACCAGCTACTTTGGGGACATCCATGCTGCCATCTCATTTGTTCTTCTGCGGGAAAGCAGCTTTGACCAGCGAGAAGACAGAGTAACAGGAGCCTGGAATGGCAAGAGAATGTCTGGTGGGTTTCTCGGAATAGAGCCCTAAGCCATAGCCCTGCCCCCATGCATATGGAACCCAGGAATCCTGGCTCCCAGCTCCACCTCCAAACCCAGAGCTAGGGGTAGATCCAGGAGTCCTGGCTCTCTCTTCTCCCTGCTCCAAGACCCTAGACTCTCATCGCCTCCCAGAGCTGGGACCAGAACTCAGGTATCCTGACTCCCAGTCTCCCTTGCTCTAACCACTAGGAAATGCTACACATGCCAACCCATTCACAGCCCAATCTTTTCCCCTCCAGAGCTCTGTGAGTTCCCAAGGGGGCTGATCTCACTCATAGGAAGTGATCAGTTTCGTTTCTCTGTCTGGCCTGGGCTTTTATTTTAAGAGCTAACGGGTTTATGTTTTATTTAAATCAAGCTCATAACGGGGAGGGAGGACTTTGCTGCAGCTCCATTAAACAGCTAATAACTGAACCTGAAAGCGATGTTTCCTCCTCCCTGCTCTAACCACTAGTCCCTGAATTAGAGCCAGAACGCAGGAGCTCTAGCATAAGCACCCCCCCTCCCGACTCTAACCACTACACCCCACTTCCCAAGCCAGAACCCAGAAGTCCTGCCTCCCAACACTGTAATCATTACATCCCACACCTCTCCCTGAACCTGGGATAGAACTCAGGAGTTCTGCCTCCCCTGCGCTAACCACTACACCCCACTTCCCACCCCGAGCTAGGGCTAGAACCCAAGTCTGCTGAGCAGGAAGCAGCATCTACCAACGACAGTGATGGTCATCGTGAATCGATACAGCAACGAATCCAGGGTGCCCCCCTTCAGATGCACAGGCAGGCCGTTATCCTCCTAGGCAAAAAGGGAAACGGAGCGGGGGGTGGTGGTGAGGAAAACAGCCCCCCAGTAATTCCAAGGATCCCTGCACTTCCAATCAATGGGGAGTCCTTTATACAGGGAAGGGGACAGATTCAAAGAGTCTTCCCAGCCAAGGAAGGACCATGGAGAGGTCAGTGTGGGGTGGCAGGTGGTGGGCCACCTCTTTAGAGGCCATAGGTCCTGTAGCCAGTCAGCCCCATCCCATTAGCCCTGCCCCCACTCCTGGGCCAGAGTGGGAGGGTTAATTAGCAATGCGGGGGCAGGGCGGGGGACAGGGAGCTGATGTCCCTATAAAGCAGTGTTTCTTAAAAAATATTTTTTTATGAGGAACGCCAAGGATTTTTTGTTGAGAAAGAAGGAAAGGTTGGGGCGAAAGTTACTGAACAAAACAAAACAAAACAAAACAAAAAAAAGTCATCTGCCCCTTTAAGGGTGGCCATTTTGAATTCTGTTGTTCTCCACACTGCTATAAAGAGCAGCAGGATGCCCCAGACGGAGATGGCTAGGGAGGGAGTGCCTGCCAGTGTTCCCTCTAATTTTTCCCATCTGTGTGTGGAATAAATTTTGTTCCATGCACTAAGATGTGCAGATGTGAACCACAGGAAGACACATGCTGCCCATTATGGGTGCACTGCTAATCAGCTGGGCAGCATTTTAGGCTCTCCTGGGGGCTCAATTTATAGGAAACCCTGGTGCCTGACTGCCTGGGAGAGTCCTGCTGGAAAGATAAGTGGCTGACGAGTAAGCAGTGCGTTTGGGGTGATGCTCATGTTGTTGTGGTAACAAATCCAGCCCCCGGGAGGATGTTGCTGAACCAGAGACGGGTTTGTTCTCATAGCTGGATTGAGAGGGCCCTGAAAAGTGGGGAAACTGAGGCAGGTATGCTTTCATGTGACCCCAGGCTCAGAGGGGGTGCAGTGGAGGCAGCTGACCCATTTCCAGAGAGGCAATGGTATAGTTTCCCTCCCATCCCCCCACTAACCCTGCCAGCACCCCCCATGTGGCTACCTTCCCCATTCAATGGGAGGGAACTGACCCCCAAATTACACCCTGCTAGAGCTGAGGCTGGAACCCAGACACCCTGACTACCAACCCCCCCCCATTTAACTCCATCTCTTGGCCCCTCTCTCCCCCTTTGCTTCCCTCCACCCCCGAGAGCCCAGCAGGGCCTGTCTCACCTGGAAGAGCTTCTGATGCTCACGGACTTTGTTTTTCACCTGGTGGCGGGTGGAGGTGGCGAAGGAGCGGAGGATTCCCAAGCGGGAGCTCTGTGACAGGGCCAAGGGGAGGGAGGATGGGTGGGGGGAGAACAAAAGAGAGATCCCAGCCTCCCCCCCTGTGCCCAGAGCCAGGGTGAGTTCAAGTCAGAAACAGCCAACTGGCCAGCCAGTGCGGCTTGGTCCTGTTCTCACGGCACAGATGCCAGGGGAGTCCCTCCGGATTTACACCGGGCTGAGCGAGGTCAGAATCAGCTTGCTGGGTTCTGCATGCCTCCCCGTGGTGCGTCTGGTAAGGGGTGTGTCTAGGGGTGCCAGGTGTCCGGTTTTGAACCAGACAGTTCAAGTCAGAAACAGCCAACTGGCCAGCCAGTGCGGCTTGGTCCTGTTCTCACGGCACAGATGCCAGGGGAGTCCCTCCGGATTTACACCGGGCTGAGCGAGGTCAGAATCAGCTTGCTGGGTTCTGCATGCCTCCCCGTGGTGCGTCTGGTAAGGGGTGTGTCTAGGGGTGCCAGGTGTCCGGTTTTGAACCAGACAGTTCGGTATTTGAGCTTTCAGTCCGGGAACCAAACTGAGAAAATATCGGACAGAGAAATGTCGGGGATTTTCTAATTACGTAAATTTTATTATCAGGAGTATCAGTACGTAGTTGTACGCAACTATGCAGTAGAGAGGAGGGGGTGGGGGCGGGGCGGGATGGAATCCCCCGGGCCGGAATCGCCCGTGCGCCCCGCCAGGACCATGTGCGAGACTGGCAGCGACCCGCCGGTTCCTGCCCCCACGTCCCACCGGGCCAGCCCTGCTCCCCCCAAACCCTTCCTGGCCAGCCCTGCTTCCCGCCGGCCAGTTCCTTCCCCTGATCTCCCCCGGCCAGCCCCACTCCCTCCAACCCCCTCTCAGTGTCCTGCCAAGTCAGTCCCCAGTGTCACAAACCCAGGCTGGGGGTCAGGGCTCCTGGGTTCTGTCCCTGGGATGGGAGGGAAGTGGGGCCTAGTGGATTAGAGCAGGTGGGCAGCCGTGTTCCCTTTAACATTTCCCATCCATGTATGGAATAATTTTTGTTCTGTGTACCAAGGCCTGTGCAGCTGTGCACCACCAGTAGAGACACGTGCTGCCAGCTGTGGGCGCTCTGCTGATCAGCTGGGTGGCACCTGAATCTCTCCTGGGGGCCACCCAAGGGCTCAGCTTACAGGGAACACAGGTGGGCAGGGCTAGGGGTCAGGACTCCTGGGAGCTGTCCCCGTGCTGGGAGGGAAGTGAGGCCTAGTGGCCATGGGCAAGGTGCCAGGCAGGCAGGATCCCCCCATGCCAGGCTAGAATGGTCGGGCTGGACCAAGGGAGGTACAGGGCAGGGTGGTATAAGGGAGGCCCTTACACTGTGTGACCCTCCCCCAGGGCTTTGCCCCACCTGCGCCCAGGGCCGCTTCCGGTCCCTGAGCAGGCAGAGTGAAAGCAGCAGCTGCTTGGAGCCTTCCGCCGGGGTAGCGAAAGCACATGTGAAAGTGGCCAGGCTGGGACAGTGAGCAAGGCGGCCACGGGGGACATACGGTCCCCTGCAAACAGGGGTCTGGCTAATGGGATTGCTGTGGGGGCAGGATCTGGTTCTTGCTGCGGGATCTGGGCTGCCGGGAGCACCCACACAGCTGATGAGGCCCAGGCGAGAACCCTTTGGTTTGCTACCAGACCTCATTGTGCTGCCAGAGGCTAAGAAACTCTCCGAGTGGCAGAGCCTGTGATGGGTCTATGGTTCCCAGGGCAGCCTCAGTCTGGACTTGAGGCCACTGCAGGGAGCAGGACTGGGAATCCCACTGCTGACACCAATAGATCTAAAGTCACCTTGGGAAAGTGCAAATGCAGAGGCCTCTGTGCCTTTTTCTCTCCCTCCACCCCACCCGTCTCTATCTAGGCCCTCCTTCTGCTTAGCCCCCAAAGCAGCTGATCTAAGCCCCCTAGGAATCATCTCCACAGCCCACCACAGACTTCACAGGGTTTATGGACACCACGGAATTTTAACACCCAGACTTGCTGTCTCACTTGCTGGTAAGCTGCTCCCCATTCTGGACTCTCTGCTCCCTGGTTCCAAGGCTTCTGTATCCTTCTGGCGGGGACATTTCCTTCCCCTAAGCTAGCCACCCTGCGGTTTTATTCTTACTTGTGCACGTGACGCCTGGATGCCTTGAGTAAGAGCTGGGCCCCACTGTGCAGAGCCTGAATGAGATCAGGGCCTCGTTGTGCCGGGCGCTGCACAGACCCGGAATGAGATCAAGGCTCGGTCATTGTAGGTGCCAGGCAGAGGCGGGCCCTGCCTCGAAGAGCTCCCAGTCTGACCAGCCAAAGGGTTTACATATAGGGAAACTGAGGCCTGGGAAATGCGGTGACTGGCCCAGATCACACAAGGAGAACCCAGATCTCCTGAGTTACTGCCCAGCCCACCCTGCCGCTCCCAGGCAGGCCCCTGCCCCTCCCGCCATCATCCCAGCCCACCTGTCTGCCTGGTTGAAGCACACGGTGCACCGGCATGCAGCTGGGCATGCTGCGTGCTCACTTCTGGGCTTTGCTCTGCTGTTGGGGGCTTTTGGGACCCGCTTCCCCAGGCACCTAACAAACCAGCCCGGGGCACCGTTTTCACTTTGTGGGGCTCAGTGCACACAAGTGCATGTATACACATGGGGGCGGGGCTGTTTGGGGGCGTCGCCCAGAGTCATTACGGGATGGATCAGAAAACCAAAACTAGTAGGATCTGGTGCAGTCCGAGTTCTGTTTGCACTGAGCCTCACAGGCTGGGGCCCCAGCCTGTGGCTGAAGCTCTGGGGGTGCTACCATAATACAAATGTACAGCGCCAGGCAATGGGGTGCTACCGTAATACACCTAATAGCAATACAAAGTACAATGCCTAACATACTGGGGGCCAGGCCCTTGACGGAGGGTCTGAGACTCTACCGTAATACACCTAATGGCAATACAAATGTGCAGCGCTGAGAACAGAGAGCATCTGGGTGCTACCGTAATACACTTAATAGCAATAGACAGTACAGCACCTAACACGCAAAGGTCCTGGCCCATGACGGGGCTACCGTAATACACGTAATACACACGTCTCGCCGTACTCATTGGGTCTTGCTTACCCCAGGTGTAAATCAGGATTTCTCCCAGTGTTTACACTGGGGTGAAGCTGCCACACAGCAGAGGCGGGTCAGGACCTAGCTATTTAAAGACACCAGACTGACAGGTTTAAAAAAAACCAAACAAACCGCACAGGCAAACAGCAAGAGCCCAGCAGGGAGCAAAGGTTAGAGACAGAGGCAAAGTGGAGGAGCATAATTCACATGCAAGCTGCACAGGAAGGGGGAGTG